GGGGGGAGACGCTTGAACCTCCCAGCACTGCGCCCCATCTTTTTCACCAGCACCCCCTCAAAACCTGGAGAGGGGTTCAAAGGGAAGCGGAAAGTGCGTTTGGGTGTGTCTGTTTTGAACCCACGTGTTTCTTGCGGTTTTCTGGGAAACCAAAAGACAAACCACCATTCTGTTGGGTTTGCGTGTGTTAAGACGCACCCATTGCAAGAACCCCATTTTATGCCAGTGGGATAACAAGCGGTGCTTGCCACAGCTCAAGGTCGCCGGCCTCGGAAGAGCGAGGACCACTGCTTCTTGAGCCAACGGCTAACCGCTCAGACCGCCTCCTGTCCTCACCACGGGTTCTTTGGGATCCTGAAAGAGAGCATCAGTCCAGACAAAGTCAAAGTCCATTCTAGTGCCATCCTCAAACTCACCCCCTTCTTGGGAAAGCACCCCCAAACATAATTTTGAGAACGATCCATTTCCTTTTTGTGGGTACCCCGGTTGGTGGGTTTTTAAAGGGAAACTGAAAGGAAATCAATCATTTTGGGAGGTCCAACCGAAAAAAGACACCTCCAAATGTTCACACCCTCGTGCAAAGCAGGAAGCAGGCAGGAAAGAAAGCTGAGCGCAGGCACCCCACTTCCGCAGGGCACTTCACAAACCTAGGCTCGGTCGCGTCGAGGCCAGAGGCGTGGGCGGGGGAGGGGCAGGGTCATGGACACTGAGTCCATTTTGCAGCCTTGAACCCTGAAACAACAAGCCCTAAAAGGGAAAAGGAGGTTGCACAATCGTCCATCATTCGGGAGGAGAGGGTTGAAAAATGGGCCAACCCTCCCCCTCACCCGAAAAACGACGGAAAGAGAGCCGAAACCCACGACTCGGCCCAAAACCCGAAGGGAAATGGATGAGGCCAAGCAGCACGAGAATGCTCCAGGGAGGGAAGCGCATGGCTCTCTGCTCCTTGGCTTTGCAGAAATTGCCCCATTCGTTTGATGCCAAGATGGTAGGAGAGCCTCCCTCTAGTGGTTGGAGGGGTTTCTCATTTACCCTCTACAAAAGCCAGGGGTTCAAATCTCCAAATCACCAATCCGAACCACCAGCTAATTACCAGAATTACTCTGCCAGGTTGCTTGAAACAAAGCGAACACAATTTTCTGGCTGTTGTCTCTGGCCGTGAGTCCATCCTTAGAGAGATCTAAAGGACGGCTAGAAGATGCAATGCAGCAACGCCAGAAAATTGTGTTCGCTTTTTTTCAAGCAACCTGGCAGAGTAATTCTGGTAATTAGCTGGTGGTTCGGATTGGTGATTTGGAGATTTGAACCCCTGGCTTTTGTAGAGGGTAAATGTGTGTCAAAACTTAGTACACCGTGTGGGATCAGTCATACTGGACGCAATCGCGATAATCTAAGCGGATATATACATAGCGAAGCAAGACACTAGTTAGTTTAATCTTCCGCCGCCTTCCGTCTTTGGAGCAACCCTTCCCAACTGCACAGCCAAATGGTCCAAATGCTCAGATGGCTTTGCGCATTGCGCTCCCGGCAGGCCCAGGTGCAGATGTGAAGACCATCTGCAGATCCAGGATGAGCCATGCTAAAGTCAGCGATGAGGCCAGGAACCAGCCAAAGAGACCTGGACACAGACAAACAAAATGTCAAATTTGGGAAGACCGGGGTTCAACCTGGGAAAGCTGGTGAACTTTCTTGATGTTCTCAAGATGACGATAACAAGGCCCCCCCCCCCAAGTGGGACACTGGGAAACAACCCAATAAGCGGGGATGTTCCTTTAATAAAAGGGGTACCAAATAGTACCAGTACCATTTCAACTCTGACTTTGGCATGCCCAAAATACATCCCTAAAGCTTTCTCCGATCCCTCCCACCCCGCAGAGTGGTACCTCAAAGAAACTGGCATGGGAAATCCGGTCCTATCTCCAAAAAGGAACCAACTTGAGGACCCACAAGGCATGGGCTGAAGGACCTTAACCCAGGAATGGATCCCACGGAGCGCTCGACTTTGCCCGGTCACGGCCTGGTTTGGCGGTTCGGTCTTTGTGGGTGATGTGGTTGTAGCCCTATCCAAACCCCGTCCTGCCTTCCAAAAAATGACAAACCTCCAACCAAGCAAACCACATCCCAATGCACCCAGCGCACCTTTGGATTACAAAAAAGGAACAAACGGAGGGAGACCCACGGACCGACAGAAAAGCTCTCGGCACAATTCCCAGGGACCCAGCAGTGCCAGAAGCGCGGGCCCTCGAAGAGGTAGCCGGACAAACCCAGGCAGAGGAAGGAGTCCTCCGCCACCGCCTGCCTGACGTCAAACCCTAGGGGATTTAAAACCCATATGGCCATGGGTCCAAATTTAAATGGTGCCCCCCAGTGAACATCCCAATCCAACCACTAAAATGGAGTAAAATGGGTGGTACACCTACCCCAAAATGGTAGCATTGGTGGTGTTGACCCACAGCCATATAGCGGATATGGGATATGTGGCGAATATGGGTATGAATTCTAATTGGGGACCCTCTGCTGGACATCATTTGGGGATTGATGTCCACCAATCACTTTTCAGGGGGTTCCCAGTTAAAATTCATAGCCATATGGGCTCGTCGTCTCTCCTTTCTTTTTCAGGGAACCCCCTTGTTGGATTGCTTTTACAGGGAAGCCACAGGTGTTGGCCGGTGTCTCCAAATTGGGATTTGCTGCCTTCCTGTCGGTTTCCCTTTAAAACACACAAACAAGGGGCGTGCCAACTCAAAACATAAGACACGCCCCCTTTGGGTGTGTCCTTTTTTGTGGGTCCCCGTTTTTGCTGGTTTTAAAGGGAAATCAAGGGACAACCACCATTTGAGGGTACCCCCAAAACAAGACACGGCCGCAAAACAAAACAGTGGAACGTCAAGTGCTATTTTCCTCTTATTGAGCTCGAAGCCAAAGTAGGTTTAGGTTATGAAAGTTATGAAGTCTTCGCAAAGTGTTACCTATACAATCCTGCAAGGGACAAAGCGGCTCTCAAATGAAAATACCTCTCAAATCGGTGGTCCTGCGCTTCTCTTTTCACGGCGTAAAAACGTCTCATTTCCACATGTGGCAACCGGCTTCTTGGGGATCCATCCCATGGCTTCGTTTTTGGCCACACCCACCGCGTTCGAGCTCGGTCGGCTCCCGCGGCATCCGCCCTTCGCCCTCCGCCTGTGCACCGCCATTGAGGCCATCAGCCAGGCGCAGCTCTGCACCTTGACCTCGACTCCGCGCGCCGCGCGGGGCCCAAGCTGTCAGTCGCCCCCGGTTGGGTGGGTCGGATTTTGGATGTCCGCAAAAAGCGTTTGTCCTTGGCCTCGACCTTTTGATGTCGCTCAACCTGAACCATGAACAGCTGGAGACCGTCACGGCATCCTCCAACTGGTCTGGGTTGGTGGTCTGGAAAAATTGAGAGGTTGGGGGAGGGTGTCCCACTTAACCTTCACCAGAAGGGCAATCCAGGGGTACCTGACCATTTGAAAACCAAAAAAATCGTGCGAACCATTTGAAGCGAAGACCTCCAAGGCGAAGAGGGGTATGTCAAGTGCTGCTCGAGCCACATCTTCTCGAATCCAAGAAAGCCAGGCAGAGGCGTCCGATAAGCTCTCCTCCAGTTCCTCATCCTGGTGGGTAAAACCCATTCGATTTCTCACGAACCATATTTCCGAACATCGCCTGAGCAAAAATTCGCAGGAAAACCGACCATGACAGGTCGACAAGAAAGGGTGTGGTCGTTGCCTGTGGCTTCTCTTGAAAAGCCCCACACAAGAAGTTGGTTGTCCTCTTGTAGGGACCCTCTGTTAGGTGAGAGATGGAAACAAAGACTGCCCAAAAAACGACCAACCGATTTTGGAGTTTCTGGCTCCTCCTCATGCGGCAGCCAGGAGTCTGTCCGCGGCGATGTGTCATTCGCCATGCCAATCAGCGAGATCGGCCAATGGGACCGCTCCGTTCTTTTTTTGGCTGGACCCCCGTGGGTTGCCTCTCTTTGGTCAAGGGAAAACAGAAACAAGGTGCCAAAAGGCAGATGTGATAAGTTCTCTTTTGTCCCAACGCCAAGCGGAATTGTCAGGTATGTCAAGCTACGCCTTGGCAGGTGCTATCTTGGCCAAAAAAAGTGTGCTGTGGTGCCATATCTTCGTTCGGCCCCGCTGGCAGATTTGTGTTTGCCGTCCCTCTTGCCAGATGTGTCTTTTGTTTTAAGAGAAAACACGGGGATGTCCTGTGAACCACCGTGCTGCAATCAGCGGATCAACTGGCTACATCGTCACTTGAGCTTGTCTCAATCGCGTTCTGCTCGCACGGCCCAAGCAAAGAGCCAGAGTTGCGCAAGCCAATGGCTGTCCCAGATGGCCCTGGTCGCCTCTGCGGACATACCCCCATTGAAAATCAAAGCCGCATCTGCGAATCTCCAGAATTGAAATCTCGCCATGCCCAAAAGAAGGCAAAACAAATATGCGAATAACGCTTCAACGCTGCTCGAAACTCATACCTGTATAGTTCTAAACTCCTAGGACCATCCCCGGAATTGAACAGGGAAACGCCCTCACAAGTGCTTGGCCCACCATCAAAGTGTCCAATAAAGTGCAAAGTGCAACCCCATACATGTTTCCAAACAAAACCAAGCTGAAGTGGGTACCGAGCCTCTAAAAGCAAACAGACACGACAGAGAGAGAGAGAGAGACACAGAGCCAGACACAGGCCTATTGCTTTCACCCCACCTCCAAGGGCTTTCTTGTGATCGCTAACCAGTTGTAGTAATTTCAGTAGGGATTTGCAGGGAGTCGAATGGATTCACATGACTCGTGCTGTTTTTTGCTAATCAGCGGGCCTAAGGCGGAGAGACGGGGCAAACTTTGAATTAAATGGGCCATCTGATGTGAGAATAGAATGAATAGAAATGTGGAAATCCCTCTATGGATTCCGGCTTTCCTTTTGGCCTCAAGGAAGGAACCGGGACGTGCGCTGAGCTCTTGGGACGAGCTCCCGGCGCTCTTCTCCGGCTTCGCGGCGTCCATCACCCCGGGCTCGTCCACCTGGCGCGGGCTTCCGGGCGCGGAAGCGGCGGGGCCTTAGGGAGGCCTTCGGATTTTGGGAGACCACATAGAAGTCACTAGACACCCACCCGGTGGAGAGTATGTCTTGGGATCAAGTTGGGCTGGGCAGCGAGGGTGCCGTTTTGGGTGGTGCGGATCCAGCTCATGGCGGCAACTGGGTGGTTCCCTCAACCCCGGTATTCGGGGGGGGGGGCATCCAGTTGCAGGGAAACTGGCTGCAAAACCCCATCCAGGTTGGTTCCGAAAAGGGGGTTCAGAAATCTGGCTGGACCATCACCTTGCGAGATTTGAACATGCGGTCCAACAAGGTCCAGAAGGGCTCAGTTAGGTTCGAAAGGATCCGAGCTGATTTGGCATCCTTCCCCTGGGTTGGCTGATCGAACCTCCAAAGGGCCCCCGGAGCTCCGTGCGCTGCTCGCGAAACCAGAAAGCCACCGAGTGCAATGGGATAAACCCGAGAACCCAAATCCGCCGGGTGAGATGCCCAAGGCGGCTCCCAAAAACCACGAAGGCCGTAGGCGCTTCGGATCACCTCGGCACCCGCATTGCCATCTGCCGCCCAGAGGAACTTCTGCTCCTGCAAGTCTAAGGCGCTTAAGGGCTGACTCCAACCCCCAAATCGTACCAAAGGGATGGTCAGGAGTTTCAAAGAACAGACTGGGGTAGCTGCTCATTTGGCTGTGTCAAAGATAGGTACCCAACATGAAGCCCTACGTGCTTGTTTGTTTGTTCTTTTTGGTGGTGGGGGGGGTATTCCCAAAAAAGGGGCACAATCTGTTTGTGTTCCTTGAAAACACGGTAAGAAAAGGTACCCTCCAGAAAACAGACTATCCCATACTCCACACCGATCGTTGCACCAGACCAGTTGTGATTGGTGGATTAGAGTCGCCATCCATCCAACTGGTGCACCGATCGGTGTGGATGTTGCCCATCGCCACAGGTTTCACCAAAGGCTGCAAGCGACTGGGGACTTGGGATGCTGAACATGAAATCCCCCCCACCCCCCACCCGTGGTTGTGAGAGCCCCCAAAAAAGGAGCATGTTGAATGGAATGTCGCTCACTCCTGGAGCTGGCCGCTCAGCATCTTGATGAAGCAATGCGCACCTGTCAAGAGACATCCACGCCGTGCCAAGCAAAGCACCCGCCAAGGCTTGGCCAACAAGCGAAAGAAGCGCTTTGCTTCGGTTTGGCCGCTCTGACCAGTTCACACAAACCGATTTCCATGCGCTCGAATCCGCAAAAAGGCTCGAGGCGCCCGAGTGGTCGTGGATCGGACTCTGCTGTCCTCGCTCCCAGCAGAGCAGCAAGGCCTCAAGATACTCCCACTCTTTGTCACTCCCGAGAATCGCCATGGGGTTGGCAAAATTATGGACGGTGTTTGGCATTGTTAAAATGCGGCAAGCGGCAAGCGGCAATGTCCAAAAACACACCATCCTTTGACAGCCCCCCGCATGCTGTAACTCCAAAAGAGTTGGGGAGCGCTAGAATAGACCACCAACCCATCCAGCTACTGGAAAATGTTTGTCGCACCGCAGCTGTTTCAAAGTGCCATCTCCTTTCGTTTCTGGCTCCAGGGCAACGGGCAATGAACTGATTCGGAGAGTAGCCCACGATGTTCCTGCGGTGGGCTCCGAAGCCTTCGGATGGACCCTTTACGCTATGGACCAGTGGAAGGTTCCCCGTTCGATGTCAAGCCAAGCTGTGAGTGCGGACTCGAACAGACCTGTGGTGAGCATGATTTAGGTGAGAATTCATGACCGCTTTTTAGATACCTCCTCTGAAAATGTGTTCATATGTCCACATGCGCCATCTCAAGTGCTCCACGCTCTTGCTATCTGCCTTTTTTTCAATGCTCCCTAAAAAGCCATTTGCTAGCTGGTCTTCTTCAATCCCAAGAGCTTTTGCTAGGTGTTCCAAAACCGGTTTTGGGCTCCATTCTGGGGTCCCATGCACCTCGCTCCGTTTTGATCTGCGCCTGGTGTATCGCCCCCGGCGGAACACCGCGTGCTGCTGCCACTCCCGCGGGTTCAGCTGCACGGACTGCAGGACCTGCGAGCGAAGCCGGCCAAAAGCGCCGCTTTTGGGCGAAATGAAGGGGAAAAACGAAGCTGAAGGGGGGGGGTGAGGGTTTTGGGGCTGGGTTTTTGTTTTGGGGGTGATGGAGATTTGCTCCAACTGTCCAAGTGGTCGGAAAGCGACCTTTGGAGGAAAGTCTGAATCTGCCTTTTGTAATGTGCACCAACCGCTTTTGAGAGTATTACAAAGTCTGAAATGTCCTAGCAATCTGCATGTGTGGCAAAAGCGAGAGACCCCCAAGATTGATTCCAGCTTTCCGTACAGTGAAATCAACCAACCTACACACACACACACATAGCTGCTTTTTGGATAAGGGGGCTGGTGGTTCTTGATGAGGCGTCCCGATACTTCCCCAGAAAGAACAGCATCAAAACTCACCTTGGTTCCACCTCTGAGGGGACGGATGCGTTCCCTTTGGCTCAAAAGTTGGAACCATGGAAGAGGCCAGTCTAAGAAAGAATCTTGCCAACAAGGGGTCATGAGTTGAAATTAGGGGCCCTTGGGACATCACTTAGGAGAGGTTCATGTCCGACCACTCTTCAGGCGGCTCGCTTAGAACATCATGGCCAACCAGCCACCGTTGAGGCCGTTCTCCAAACAAATAATCATGTCAACAAAATAATGGCCAAAAAAAGGGGGGAAGCAAAAACGTGGAGCTTTTTGCGCCAACCCCTGTGCCACGTCCCACACCCCCACCCCACACCCCACACCCCACACCCCACACCCCACCCCCACGCCACCCCCACGCCACCCCCGCCGAGACAAACCGCTCGGCCGGCCTTCTTGACTCGGGCGACCACCGAGCCGTTGATGGGCGCTCCGACCCCCGGCTGCGGCGGCAGCTCCTCGCCTGACGCTGCTTGGCCGGGCAAAGGACCCACAGGGACCGAAGCGGGACCTTGGCCAAAGGATGGGGTCGGCCAACCAAAAAGGAGAAACGTTTGGGTTGTTTGGTTGAATGGTTCTCATATTTCCCCATGGAACCCAACAAAAACAAGGGGAGTACAAACATGACGGGAGTTTTGTTCGAAGCAATTCTCCTCCTCTAAAGTGATGGGCTTGTTCAGGTGCCGTGCTGATCTGAGAGCGTGGTTAAAAAATCATTGGATGTCGCGGGCATGCGAGTTTTAAAGACATTGCAGGCAACCCCATCCAGCAAAATTTGTCCCGAACCCTACCTTGCCGCTTTCTCCCAATCTGGCCTTGGAGCATCAGCCTCCAAACTGAACTTGGATGGAAATTGCAAATGGGAGAAATCGGAAAATCCAGTCACGCCTCCCTCCTGCAAATAGCACTGGGGCCCTGGAGAACTCGGGCTGCGGCGAAGCTGCTTCACCAGCGAAGGCAGGTCCACGTACTTCTTGTCATCCTGAAGCTCGCGGACAGCGAAGCGCCATATCCGTATGTGTCAACGGGGGACGGACCCTATGCTGGGTTTCCCTCTGGCTCCCTTTGACCCCTTTTGGTGGGTTAAAGAAAACCGAAAGGAAAACCAACCAGTATTGGGACCACCTCTCTTTTTGATACGCCAGTGTCGTATTCCGAGATGCCGACCGCCACGGTCTCCTCGGAGAGACGAGGCAGGTTGGAGACCGCTCGCCGAAGCGCCTGCACGACACCCGGCAATCCCCCTTTCATGGATGATCCGCGCATGTTTCTCTTAAACACCACGCCAATCAAAGAGCATGAAGGATCGAACAAAATGTAAAATGTTCCTGTAAAATGATGCAATCAAATGAACAGAGTATGACAATAATACAACAAAACAAAAAGAAGAGCATCGAGCATACGGCGACCATGCCCTGCCTGGGCACGGAGCCCATGCTTGGGCCAAGGTCTCCTCGCAACTGTTGGTCATGGACAAAACCCGGTGCGCAGTTTGTGGAGTTGCTTCCCCTTAGAGAAAGCAAAGCTGCCGCACCTTGGGGCGGTCCCCTAAAAACCGGCCAGTGCCACGGAAACCCACCTTGAGTAGGGAAACAAAAGCTCGGAATCGCGAGAGGGACAAACGAGAAACCAAAGGCCAAGCTCGCAGGAAAGGTCGGAAGGAGCCTTCCAAGCTCTGAGAGATTCTCTGGGGAGGTAGTCTCTGGAAGTCGTTAGGTCTCTAAAGAGTAATTAACCTCTATGGCAATGTCAATGCCGGCCTTTTGCAGCCCCCTGCTGAAACTGAACAGCACAAACAAAAAGGCCAAACAACAGTGAAGATGTCCCTGCAGATCCCTCAGCTGCCCTCAGCTCCCAACACCTCTCCTGCAGGCTCGTATGGCACAGGACACGGCCGGCCGCATGTCGAAAGGGTTCCGTGCATGTTGGGGTTCTCTTCCTTTTGCGGTTCGGGCGCTCTCAGCGCGCTTTTGGCTCAGGTGATGTTTTGATGTTTGCCGCTGTTTGCCATGCTAGAATGATCTGCCAGCTTGGTCGCTCGAAGAGTCGGCCAATTGAAAATCTGCAGGGATGGCCTCAATTCTCCTTGGGAACTCGAGGCCACTGGATGCTTGGCCAGCTCCCTTCCGCATTCAGCGATCACAAACAGCCAACACCAATAATCGACGGGGGAGAAAACGAGCCCATGCATCCCCCAAAAGCATTGCCCAAATTTCCCCAGAACCTTCCCCGCATCCGGACACCTTCCAGAACCCGTCCCAAAGCAGAAGACCCTTTGCCTCCGCATGGAACCCCCCTCCCCAAACCCCGCTGCTCCCCGTCCCCCAAGCCGCGCTCATTTTGAGTGAGCCGCCTCTTGGCGTGGGGTTTGGAGCCAATGGTCTCGGGCGCGTGGAGGCCCGGGGCTGGACGGCAGTCAAACAACTGCCGCGAGATCTTTGGTCTGCTGGAAGCCCAAAAAAACTGCGCAAAGCCCGAAGGACTTGGGGGACTTGGGGGGGGCTTCCAACAGACCTGATGGCAACAAGGAGAAACGATGGCAACCCAGCCACGGACCTCTCGCACTGCCACTCCTCACCCTGCTTGTTGCAAGCGCAGGCACGAGTTCGTGAATTGCACAGGGCCAAGCGAACGCATGTCTCCTCTTGATTCGTCTTGGTTCTCTTGATTTGTCTTCTGAGATGGAAATGGTTGGCCCTGCCGGCCATTGCGTTGCAATGGAAAGTGCCTCTCGAGCGCCCCTTCGGTTTTTCCGGGCGGAGAGAGAGAAATGTTGCAGGCGCTAAAGCGAGCCTGGGGTTACCTCGGGCGAGGACCGCCCTTTGTGCACCCCAGGCGCCGCATTTGGCAGGTGATCAAGCAGCCGCCAAATGGGCCAATTGAGGCCCCGGGCGTCCCTTCGGGACGCCAAAAGTGAGGTGAAACCAGGATTCAAGAGCTTGCGGCGCGCGAACCCAGCTAACTCTCACGGGAATTCAGTTCAGGAAAAAGTGCACCAACCCGGCTCTCAAATGAGGCGTCAGTGCACCACAACCTGAGTCATCAAAACACAAAGGAGCACTCAAGAATTCTGCACGCCAGCTTGTGACAAACATGCTTCAAGTAAAATTCAAATACATGTTGACAGCCGATGCAAAGCGTGCCATGCCAGCTAGCTCGTTAGCCAATCGAGCTGGCTGGTTAGCTGGTTCTTTGCTGATAGCTCATTCACTTGTGAGTCAGCCAGTGTGTGTGTGTGTGTGTCTTTGTGCGGGCGTGTCACTTCGTCAGTTCGTCAGTTCGCTAGAATCTACTCAACGCGCCAGGGGCAAAGTGTTGGCTAGCAAGCGCTAGTGAGCTTATCAACTGCTTGTCTCCAGGTGGCTGGTCAGCCAGCTGAAGCTGATTCCTCCCCAACAGCGAAGCTCGATTGGCCGTATCACAGAAGTACTTGTCAACCTTCCTTTGACAAAAGAACAAGGACAACTGCAAATACGTCTGCGAATGATCCATAACTTAGTCCATAACGTTCAATCAGCCTTTTGCCCACTGCCCCTGAGGCGTGGCAGTTCACTACCAAAGCCAATTCAGGAGTTCAAATATCTATGTATGCATATTATATTAATACATATATATATATATATATTGCATCTGTCATCGTCAAAAGCGCTCGGGCCAAGGATCAAAACAACTGGGAAACAGGCGAAGCACAATGTGGCAAGCTTATCTGAAAAACACCAATGGCCAAAGACCAAACTGTTGGTCCAACGAGCGCGCACATAAAACGCCAAATGGGTTTTATGGGAAAGACGCTGCCCATGCAATACGGCTACGTCTGGTTCCCAGAGTTTTGCCATATTTTATCCTTTTCTGGTGGCTGCATAGTAGCATCCCATGTCACCCCGCAAAGGGGTGGACATCATCCTAGATTCAAGCTATCTCTGAAGCTCGTACCCACGGAATGGGTCCCAGCCTTCTTGAAGAAGAGGCAGCACAGAAAGCCACCCTTTCCTGGCTTAGGACAAAATGCGATCAGCATTGTCTCAATCAAATCTGGTACTTGTAAGCTTCATTTACTCGCCAAGAAACTACCATGCAAAGGCGACCAAAATCTCACAGGCACCTCGGATTTATTGCCGCCGGCTTTGGTGCACCGGGGTATAAATATCGACACCCTATGAAACCTGATCAGGTCCCCCAATCACTGGCTCATGGGCGACTTAGCAGACAACTACTCAGCCCAGCTTCAACTTGTGTCAGGCAAACATACGCACCGGAGGAATCCATCAACAAAGAGTAAGCCCCTTCACGGCTAAGCAAACTTGGCAAAGCTTTCCTTCTGGGCTCAGCTTCAGCCTGAGAAATTCCTTCGATTTCCGGGCGATGGAGATCTTCCGAAGGGCAAAGCCGCAAAGCCGCAAAGCCGCAAAGCCGCAGCCCCAGTCGCCCAGCCCTTCGTTTCGAGTTACGCATCCGGCCTTTGTCCTCCATCCTCACGGCCTTCGCGTCCACCGCCTCAGACCCAAAGACTTGCCACAGTCCCCCGAACAAAAGGTGGACGTCTCGGAAGCCTCATACAGGCGTTCTTTCTTGGGGTTCATGTGCGACTTTCCAAGTCCGGCCAGCTACTTCATGTTGGGTTCATTTGATGGACCCATAAAGGGCTTCTGGTTTTGATGCACAAACACACGCACGAACGCACGCAGGAACGAGCCACGTTTAAGTGTCCAACCAAAAAAACACCACAGCAGGTTTCGTGCGATGTACTTGTATGGTTTTTTGTGGCAAGGTCTCTGTGGTTCCTTTTGCTTGCTTGGCTTCTGGAAGAGTCCTCTTCCTGAGGTAACTGACTTAGCATGCTCAAAGTCACCCTCTCACTGTTGTTGTTTTTTTAGCAGTCTCAAAATGGACCCCATGAAGATTGGTATGTCGAGGGGCCAAAAAAAAAGCCTTTGCCTTTTTCCCCTTTTGATTTGAGAACCGCAGCTGCACACTTGCCCGATCGAGGCTGCCGCCTTCATTTCCTCAGCTGCACACTTCTGCTTCAACAGGCTGCGACAGGAACCAAAAATGTATTGAACAAAAAGGCATGCTTGAAATGGCCTGGAAAAAGGGACGGGGGGGCGGGGGCCAACCGCGAAATGGAATGGAAGCCCCCATGAAGACCTTGGGCTTTTTCAGCTCGTTCCATGTTGGTGTAGGGGGACCGATTCCTTGATGTCGTTGGTGGCTTCCCTTGAAAACCAATCCCAAAAACACATAATTTCGAGGATTTCTACGTCTGACCACTTTACAAGGAGCTTCCCTATGAAAAAGTCATCGCCATTGGGGATGGCTTTTTTGAGGGTACCCCTATTTTTGAAGGGGTTATACAGGGAAACCAAAGGGAAAACCCACCTTTTGGGGGTCCCCCTAAAGCAAGACACGCCGGTTTTGAGCAACACCTCCTCCCCAAACGACTTGCCCAGCAACACCTCCGTCGTTTTTCAGCCCAGTGACACCTCCCGGGCTGGACTGGCCGTACCTGTGATGAAAAATATGGCCGCTTCTTCACCTTTCCCCGGGCTGTTGATTTGGATTGGGTAAGGTATTTGTCCATGCCCTCCAAAAGTTTGACTTTTTGCAGGGATCAGAACTCCTGGTGCTTGTAGGGGCCAAATTGGGAGCCTCCCTGAACCACCAAACCACCAATCCGGAAGCCGGCGCAAAAAAGACCTACCAAAAAGGGGCCCGATTTGTTGACAACCCCCCCCCCCCCCCTGGTCACCTTTCCCAAAGTGGTCCGAATCTCAGTCGTTCCAAAGCTAACCTGTTCGGGAAGGTGCTTCAACTTGATCTGACTTGGTTTTTCAACGGCGTTTGGGACTCAGTCAGACTTGGCAATTCAAGGTGATGTTTGAACCGAAGGGACACCAAAAGGGACCTCTAACGTTGGCCATTCCAAGCGGGCCAAAACGTCGACTCGCCGTCCAGGTTCGGAATGTCCGGAGTGAAGGATTTCACAAGCGGAAGTGGCCAACTAATCTGTCCACTAACATGGAACCCACCCAAGGGCCCGTTGGAAGCAAAAGCGTCTTCCACCCCGAAACGTCAGGTTCTATGTTAGTGGGCGGGAGGGTACCCTTTTTGGGTGGCTTTGAGAAAGCCAGCGCCCAGAGCACTCAGTCGGCTTGTTCTTCTTGATAGCTCCAGCGACATCGATGCCCTGCGCAGAGCTTGGATCGGATGGAACCAAAGGGCAAAAGCCCTGGGCGGTCCTCAGATTCCCTGCTCAAAGTTTAGACTTTTAGTGGGTTGAATGGAAAGAGTGCGATTGAGAAAGCCAATGTCAACCCAGCCATTTGAGGGTTCCTCCATTGACGAGTTTCCGTGAGAAGCACGCGTATTGGCAAATCACTTGCAATCCCCAGATTATGAGTCCTCCTGAAGCCCACTTAGGCAACGGAAGGGGAAGCAATCGGCCGAGAAACCTCCAAGTCGTTGTTCTTGACGCTCCTGGCGCGGTGTTTTTCGATTTCGGGCGCAACTTGACGATCCGAGGCCGCCACTCGCTCATCTCTGACGAAGACTCCCTCGGCTAGGCAAGCATGAGAGGGGGCAAGGATGAGTCCGCCTGCATGTGCTTGTGACTGCGCTGTTGTGGGATATGGCGCATGGCGTCCTGTGCGGTGTGTTTCTTGTTGAATGTTCTTTGCTGCGTGTTGTGTGCTGTGTGCTGTGGCTGTGTGTGTGTGTGTGTGTATGTGTGTTTGCGGTGTTTGGCTTGTGATAATTGACTGCGTTGTGTGCGGTGCGCTCTGTGTTGTGTGTGTGTGTTGGTTGTTGCTTTGTGATCTGCGAGTTGTGTTGTCTGCTGTCCTGTGTGCTGTGGAATGTCCCGTGCGGGGTGTTGCGGAGTGTGTTGTGTACTGTGAGTTGTGTTGCCTGTTGTGCTGTGTACGGGTTGTGTGT